ATACTAATATGAACGCTTAGTATCTCTAACGTTTATCGGCGTTGATTTCAATTTTCATTTTTGGAATCATTCAGAAGAACTGATGAAAAGTTGTGATAAATATTTGTTACTTTGTTATTTAATTCGAGTAGTTTCAATTGAACGATATTTGATATCCATTTCATGTTTCAATATTATTAAGAAAAAGTAAAATGCATGAAAATTGTAATTGTTCTATGTAAACAAAATTAATTCCATAGCGAAGATTTTAAGTATAAAGCGAAAACTGAAATTTTGCAACAAATTAATGTGTTATTGATAAAACAATTAGTGAAGGATAAAGGTTTCAATTTTATTAAGTCCACTATTTGTAGTGAAATAAATTTGCATATTTCCACTCGGTTCAGTTCATCGGGGCATACTTGCATTGCACTGAAATTGTATGCAAATTTTTACATTTCTCGTTCATTGTTAGTTAATTCTTCCTCGTTGACTGGTTGGTTCGCATTAGGAACTATTTTCTGGTGGGATGAACTGCTGAAGCTGACTGAAGCTAAATTGTGCGAATTGACTACATTTCTTTAACTTTTCTGTTAGAAAAAGATCTTGGATGGGAGGATGGCTTCAAAGACTTTTAGTTGCTAATCATTAGAGATCTTTTATCAGTTACAAATTTAATTGAAACGAACTAAATTATATGAAATATGACTTTTGTGTTTTAATCTACAAAGATAATGTAACTAACAGTATTTGCGTAGAATAATGTTTGTTCCAAGTAACTGATAATGTTTTCATGAAGGAATATGTATACAGAGCTAAAGGAACTGATCAATTTTCTGGCTATTTATATGCATCATCGAATTCCTCGGCGTCGGGTAGCGTTGTAGCGTTTTCTGTCTTTTTCCTTTTGATTTATTGATTAGCAGCGAATCAACAAATAACTTTTAATGGTGTTTTTTTCTTTTTTGGTGGGAGGATTTTAGTGGTTTATTAACACTTTGATAATTTGTATCATTTCAGATTTGTTTGTTCATGGAAAGTTACAGTAATCATCTTGCGGGAAGATTTTTGGGGAAATGGAAGCCAGAAGAGCCAGAATATGGTTAGCCAAATAGTTCTAATAATAATTACAAAGTATTTATGTGTGTGTGAAAGGAGCATTGATATTCGTAAGTATTTTGATTTTCGATTACTTACAAAAGGAAAATTGTTACATTTGAAATTATTTTAAGTCAAAGAGTATAATTTGAACATCTAGTATTTGCAGGAGAAAAAGAGCGAACGTTGATGATTAAAGCAGGAGATTGCCTAGATCAAATTCTCAGCACAATCGCAACAAGCATTGGGATTGTTGAAGAAGATCTTGCAGCGTGTTTCCCATGTTTGTTTCGCTTAATTCAGGCTATCATTTTTTTTTTTTAAATTTTGTTTGTATTTTATCATATTTCTCTATAAAAGTTAAAACTACAAAAGATGCTATTTGTTGAAGCACTAATGATAGCTTACTGCAACCCTGGCGTAGTATCGTGCCAAGTGATGAACTATGCACATATGATCACTGTTTGGATGGGAGATGTTAACGCTGATGTAAATTTTACGCCTATACCAGATGGTATTGCGTTCTTCTGCGAAACACCGGCTATACTGTACAATGTTTTAAACAGCAATGGCAACGTTATGGATAAAACAAGTAAGTTTTCAATTACAACAGGATTCTGTTGATCATGTACGGTTGATTCCGCAATTTACTCTTCTGAATTCTCTTTTGGAAATTCCACGATAACTGATCATCATTGGTGAAGTTTTTAAGGAAAGAGGAACAAATGAAAGTTGAAATTTTGCAGAATATCCTTTCTATTTTGTTCCAAAAAACAAAGAATTGAAATCACAACGATGTATTCTATTGCAATTAATTAGCTCGATGGACGACTATGCTTACGATTTAGTTTGGAGTGGTTTTCTCTTCGAAAATGAGGTATACTTTCGAATTTTTGAAAGAAATGAAGAAAAATGAAGTGAGTCTCCAAATTTACGTTACGTATAATTATCATGCAGCTAGCTATTGGTAGTAGATGGGATGGAAAAAGATTCTATATATCTAAAGCTCTTTTTATAACTCATTATGATCCGTTCAATTCAGTTGTTTCTTCTGTAGGTACAGAATGCATTGGATAGTCTTATTTGATTATCCCATTATTTATAGATACCACCTTTGCTTTTCCGTTATATTACAAAAGAAAATTGTCCATTTACGGCACGCTTATTTGCGGATACACGTTTTGGTTGTCATCGATCACGTCCTGATCACAAAGCTATGCGTCGAATTCAACATGCTGCAGCATATTTAGCTGTCACCAACGATAATGCTAGCTATAATAGTGCTTCTGGTATAACTTAATAACTTCAAAAGTTTAGTTCATCTTAATTTACTTTATTCTCTTGGATTCAACTTTCACTTATTTTGTAGCAGAAATATTCAAATTTCAGGTAGCCATCAGGAAAGCGCTCAGTATGATATAAATCCAGCAACCAATAACTGTATGAATTTTTTTGTCAGATCGTCTTTGATATCATTAATGAAATTATAATTTATAAATAGTAATAACTTTAGTTTGCTATAGTCAACAGCTCCACGCAAATAACAAATTTGCGCCTATAACTTCGCTATCTGTTCCACTTGTGTCATCATCATCATCATCGTCAGCAACAGCAGCAGCAGCAACAGCCGCTTCAATTGGACAAAAAAACTGTGATACAGTGGTAATAAATTTTGAAAAATTTCCAGTTTGTATCGCAGTAAGAAAGACAATTTTGGACAGAGAAAAGTGATTAAATTTTTGCAGAACTCAATGACAGCATCTGCAAATGTTATCACAAATACGGTAGCGTCAAATGATTCTAAGCGTCTTCTATTGGATCCATCGCTGATGCCTTCAAATCCACTGCCCGAATCCATCAGTAATAATGCTGGACACGTTGTTAATCAGTTTTATTCATTATCTCCAATCTTGGATAATGGCAGTAACTTCAGTGCATGGAATTGTTATCCTGCAGTAGGTGACATTAAAGTGGTATGACTTTTTCTTTACATTGTTAAATCTCGCTATTTTGATTTGCTTAATCTTTAGTTCTATGTACTTTCTGATGGTAGTTGTAATTTTCCAACTTTCGCTAAAAGTGGAACAATAAAAAACGATACTAATTGAGAAATTAGTAATCTGAGGATCGATAATTCTTGCAGGATAATGCGATTGCTAAGATTCCAGTATATGACGAGCGTAATAATTTCCATCTTATGTATCCATATAGCTCCCCCCAAGCATCAGTTGCCGACAATTACAACAAATGTTCACTTGAAACAGGTGAAATATAAAACACCAATAATAAATATTTGTGTTGATTTACTCATTCAAAACTTCTTAATCCCAAAAACTTTCATAAAACAATTAATTTAAGTTGTAATTTTCACAGTGCGTTTCAAAAGCAAACTGGTGTAATTTTTGAAGAAATTTTTTCAAATCATAAGAAAGTTTTCATTTCCCTCACTCGAGACTATTTAAATAAATCGATTTCAGGAACTTCATCATTCCTATCATTTCCGGCATCGCTTTCCAATCTCAACTGCGCTTCATCCGGAAATCAGGGAAATCAAATCCATAATGTTAGCTAAAATTCATTGCAGCATTTATATTATTCGCATGGCATGAAGAAAATGTGTCTTGCAAAATCGAACTTTTAGATGTGTGTAGAAACTGAAAAGTATGTGAAATATTTTTAGTTCGAGTTAAATAATTCGGATATGTCTAAGCTTCAATACAATGTCAGCCGCATGTCATTTGCCGATGGTGGTGCACCTCCATCGTCAACATACGCCACCAAATAGTCCAAAATGATTCGAGAAGAGCTTTAATGATTGCAAATCAAAGTTTCAAAAACAATTCGGCATTCTATTACAAATATTTGATGAATTTTTGTTATTACTAAGTTCAGTTCTCTTAATCACTTGTTTTCTTTTGTTAATTAATTAATTAATTTTTTTTGTAATTATTGTGATATTAATCCTATTTATTAGTATTAAACTTATATAATATTGTAATATTTAATGATTGAAATTTAATGTGTTTCTATGTTCCTTTTGGGCTAACTTGGAAAGGACTGATAAATAAAATTTTTAAGAATTTTGATATTATGCTAATTTGGACACTAAGGCTTACCAATTACTTTGTAGAAATAAAAAAAAAATCGAGCAAAGAAAATTTGCTGTACAGAAAAATGTCAATTTGGTCTTTTTTTTTCTTTTTTACAACAAAAAATCTTTTTTTTTGTAGTGAATAAACAGCAAAGTTGTTATGAATTTTGATCAATGTCATCTCTATTGGAAAGAACAAAAGATTTTATTGTTAAATTTTTGTTGAATTATTTCTATTGAAACATGCGAATCCTTTTTTTATTCTATTCAAACACACACAATAAAAAAATTTTTTTTAAAGTGGCAATGATTTTTTTATTTAATAGTGAATTTGCAACAATAATCAGTTATTCTGCATAATTTCGTACAAATTAATTGGTAAATAGACTTTTTCTCGCGAAAATTCCAAATTCATTTTTTATCGCTTTTCTTTTTTTGAAAACAATTTTTAAAAAAGTTGGCATAACGAAATTGTGCATTCTTGGAATTATTTAGCATTTTTTATTTATTTATCCATTTATTTTATTTTTTATTTTTTTGAAATTATAGTGTATTTGACAAAACAAAGATTATTTAACTTAAAACAGAAACAAAACTGTTTCAAATTCACTTTATATTCGATAAGTAAAACAACTGATAAGTTGTATTGCGTCAATCAGCGTGATAATGGAATTTTTTGAATATAATTTACCAGTGCTTTTCCGTTAGACTGAAAAATGGCAACTTCAAAGTTTATCAGTTTAAATTATCACCCATTAAAATATATAATGGCATTTATATTTTTATCACAATTTTTTCTTTCATTAAAGGATTCAATAAGCGCTCCGCAACAATGGCAAATGCGCAATTCTCATTTTTTACGTCACCATTACTGCTCTACGTTCTCAGCACACTGATATTGTTAGCAACACCTCAGAGATTGATTCCGGTAATTTTTATAATTTCATATCGTTACAATGACTGTAGTGAATGAGTCGTATAAGACAAAATATTTTGGTTTTAAATGAAAAAAATTCAAGGAATCAGAAATTTATTGAAAATTTTTTATACATCTGACAACGAATTGGGCAAAAACGATGAAATTCCCAATCAAGAAAACGTGGGTGGATTTGATGAAAACATTAATGTTGTGCGACGGGACATTATTTCTATTGCAAGTTCATCGTAGAATACTACCACAGATAATGAAAGAACTGTGCTAAACGGACTTTTACGGATCGGATACATCAATGAAACAGTGTTACCATGGAAGTAAGTTTCTGAGATGTTTATTGCTGAGTAAAATTGAAATTTGTTATTGTCAACATAAAATGCTTTTTGCTTCAGTATGATTCCATGTAAGTAAACTGTGAACACTGTCTTGTTTGCATTGCTTAATAATACTTTTGTTGCAGCAGTGGTCGACCACTTCTGATTAGATATATTTGGGGAATTAATACTAACAATGGCAATGAAATTTTCGCCTTTGAAGTCTTGTAATGCTATAAAATTGTGTGACGTTTGTTGTTGAATGAAACTGAAATTTGTTATTGTCACTATTTTCGACATTAAATGGTTTTTGCATCAGTGCGATTGATTTCAATTTCCATTTTGAAATCATTCAAATAACTGAGAAAGCAGACCATTTCAAGCTGACGCAATGCCCAATTAAAGTACTTTTTAGCTGAAAGTGAGACGTATTTATGATCGGAGTTATACGTAATACAATCTAAGCGTCGCTGCAAATTTAGCAAGAACCATCATCACAGAAATTTTCTTTTAAAAAATTTTAAAATTTGTAACCAATTCATCATGTTTTCATTTTTCATTTCTGCAAAAGAATTTGCAAGCCTCAGCGTTTAGATTAGCAAAATATTAAATTTTTTTTTTTTTGCAAAACCAAATTATCAGTCTGTTAGGCTGAAAAATAGCGCCTTAGTGGATCGTCGGACTTAAAACGTCCCACAACAAAGAAAAATGGAATTTCTTTTTTTCTTTGATCAGTACTTTTTTTTTTCTCTTACATTTTTCTTGACTTTTTTACTACTCTTTTGAATTGTCTATAAATTCATATTATTAGCAACATCTCTGATTACTTGTGGCAATTTTTGTGAAATCATTTGCTATCGTGATCGTATTGAATGAGACGTTAAAGATGAGCTTTCGAGAATTCTTAAGAAAACAAAAGTTTATGCAAATTTTCTCAGAACTTTGACGTATACGACTTAGTCATTGGGAATAACGACGACGTTAACACAAACGTTACTGAAAATTCACAGTTATTGTTTTTTCAAATTCCAATTTTTTTAAACAAATTAATCGGCTATTTGACAATTGTGTAACTATCAATTGTGCAGAGTTATATGGCTTTAGTGTTTAAATGCAAGGATTATTGCTCTCATATTAATAATATTAATCAAACTCTTTTACGTAGGATCTCATAATAAATGCAATGGAACACTGCATATTCATATTTAAAGCGACTGACTTCACAATCTCGGAGAAGCTGAAAACTAGCTATTCTATACGAGTAATTCCTAACAATCATGTAAACCTCGAAACATTCATGAAATTCATCAAAGCTGAAAATAAGAAAAAAGTCAAAAGAAATACTCGAAACATTCATGAAATGCGTTTGCTACAACAAAAGTAAACAAAAACATTGAAGTGCAGCTCCGTCATGATTACGTGAAGCCTTGTATGAGATTTAGGTTGTCGTTAAATAGAGATTGATAGGATGTAGAGTGGGTACTGATATGAAGCTTGCTAGGATAGTGAATTTAATCTTATAAAATGCATATTGACTAACAAAAAGCGCACGATTACAATGATTTGAATAAAGATCTATTATTCTTGAATGATGTTTACCTATATATTAAGAGTTATGTTAATTGCTTGTAAGAATGACTGACGACGGATTGGAAGATTGTAAATAGAATTGGTTTATAAGAAAGCTAAACAGTTTACAATCTTTTAACCATTGAATCTGTCAGATTGGAAAATAGTGATAATAAACTGAAAGCAATATATAACAAATTAAGCATTTCATATATTCTTTGTTAAGATTAGGCACCATACATACACATATACTTGTTGTAATTGGAAGATGAATGTTGGATAAATGGTTTTTCATTTAAAACTAAACCAGTTTTATATTTCTCTAACAAATATTCGATGAGATAGTTTTAAATTTGTATCCTTTCATTCATTAGCTACTTCGCTCTTATCTGAAACGAAGAGTCTTTTAACCTTCTTACCCAGTCCTGTGTCGGTCCAGTCGTATTTCACTTGTCGCGATTGCTCACCCTCATCAAGTACCAATTGAGAACTCTAATACAATATATTTGCGAAAAACATACTATCCTACTTTATATTTTTTTGAAAAGCAGATTGGTCGTCCTGAATTATTTGCTCTAGATCCTCACGTACTGAAAATTCACACCTATTGTTTTTTTTAAAAAAAAAAAATGAATGTTATATTTATTTTTTAATATGGTTACAGTTAAATTTAGTCACTGTCGTATGACTTTTTATAACATTTTAAACTCATACCGAAATGAAATTTTGGCAATTTAATTGCGCACCTTTACTTGACCGATTAAAAAAAAACACGTTTAAAAAATAAATTTTTGAAGTGGTCGTATAATATCATTTCAAAAGTTTTTTTTTTTTTTTAATTTTAAATCTACTGATGATGACAATCATCTTTTTTCCGAAACGCCATGTATGCATCTGTATATGCCGATACCAACCTTTTATCTATGGTGATACCAAGTCGACTTGTTCCGGAAAGCTTGCAACATTAGCGCTAACTCCGGAGCTATAGCACGGAACAGAATTTAATCGTACATTTCTGATTAAAATATAGTAAATTAAGCACAAATTTATTATTTTAGCGGAATTTCAAGTATTTTCGAACTAATTTAACTGTTTAATATTTCTCCAGAGTTGTTAAAAATAGCACGAGCTCTCAATCGGCTCACTATGCAAAATTTTTAATCACTGATGTTTCTGACATTTTAGGGCTTCCCGGTGTCATTCCCATAATTTCTTTTCCTACTGATCAGTTTCCTACAATCTCCTTTCATCCTTCACTAAGCAAGCATAGAGTAATTCATCTTATTGAAATGTGGCAGTGGTTACTATGCTTCACTAAGTATTCAAACAATTCTTACGAAACTACGAAAGGAATACTCAAATTCACAATTCATACAAAATATTCACTTCAACGAACATCATTTATACAAAATATTCACTTCAACGAACATCATTTATAGGAAAAAGTTGCAGGAAACATTTAATTGATTATACTATTGTCCATCTTATCTTATAGGTAAGCACATTATATTTCGTTCTTACCAAGCAATAAACTTACAGCAAAAAGAGAAGGTCACATGATAATGAGATTCAATCCTTAATAAGCTGTCTTTTCTTCATGAGACAGTTCACTTAATGCGTTTTCAACGATGGTGGCTGCACTATGATTAAAAAAATTGCTCGATTAAAGACAAGAGTGAATTACTGACATTAGTTGACATCTTTCAGGTTGATTGTTCAAGCAGCAGCACTTGTACCTCTTTTTCAGGACACGTCTATCTATTGTTGTGACGAGTCCACCGTACAGCAAGATCTGAACGAGACGATGGTCTTCCATCTGAAGACGTGACCTTACCATAGCCTCAATTCCCATTTGTTAAGAACGATTATATAGTCACGTGCTCAGTGTAATGGATCTTTAAAATGATGCGGAAAAAGCACTAATGGAACAGTTCAATGTACGTACGTGACTACCAACATTGCAATGTAGAATTCCATTTACATGTACCTCAGTTTCCTGTGGAACTCTTTGCTCCTTCGGTTGATTGGTTAATCAAAATAACAATTTTTGGAATACTTTCCAACTCAGTTTTTATTTTCATTATAATAATGAATTATTTATAATTAAATTTGAGGTTGGAATAAAGTATAATTAAATAGTAGCTATGAAATTCGGAAATCTTATTGTATGATGACATATGATGTTTTCAGAATCAAATTAGAAAAAGTATGACAAAAGTTGACATCGACTAATTGATCGAGGAATCTTATGCAGAAGATTTTCTTTTACTAGTACTACTGTCCTCGAATGTATTGACTGCCAGATATTTTATTTTGCCTCAAAGTTGGGTAATTAAACCGACAAATCAACATTATAACAACGCGTAACGAAAGATATAATATAATTATAAAACACTAAAATAATATCAAAAATCACCCCAAAATGTCGAATGCATAACTGTAATGGAGGACGGTTGGTTTATATACAGAACTGAACTAACCACATATCCGGCCGAGGACATTTAAATGATGTGAAACAAAGATTGCTAACAAAGGATTTTTGCTAACGAAGGGTTTTTGCTAACAAAGGGTTTTTGTCAATTAACAATTTTCTTCCGTTTTTTTTACGACAACTACTGTGGTGTGAGATCCACCTAAAACAATATGAGAAATCATAAATTTTGGATGCGACTGAGTTTGAAATATAAGTTGAAATTTTTGCTGTAATACTATTATCATATATGGAATGTGATAGAAATTAGTATAACCAATTAAAGTGTTTCCTGCAAGCGGTGCTTTTCTACGAACAGTTTTTGTGAAGCATTTCGTATGAACTGATGAATTTGCGTAGTTTTTTTCGCAGTTTAGTAATACGTTAAAATAATCGAAATAATTTTGCATTAAATCTGTGAGATAGAAATTCATAGATTAAAAACTGTCTTATTTGAATGCCTGTTGGAGAAATATAAAAGTATTCTAATTTTAATTCTAATTATTGACCATTATCAATGTAGAGAACTTATTTCCCTCTTAAAACGCTTACCGTAATTTATCCATTTTTTCGCTCTCACAATTTCAAAAAAATTTGTTTTTTTTTTTCCTCAAACTTAACAAAGCTTCCGTTCAAATCCACTATTAACTGAAAACTTATGCAAAATTAACCTTTGCTGCAAAATAATACGCAACTGTGATTATATTGGAAGAAATTTAACTGAGATTGTATCGGAGAACATATTCACCATGATCTTCATTAAATTCCCAGACTGGCCACTTTCATTTTCGGTTAACTATCTCAGTCCTTTCTACCATGGTTCAAATTTTGCAAGTTGAAGAGGAGAAAGTCCTCTTCTGGATATTTCGGCAGGTTTGTCCAGTTTTTTTAATATCGCGAAACTCTAAAATATTATTTGAGAGTAGGGAATATGAGTAAGAAATACGTTCTATGAACTTTTCTCGAAATAATCTTTATACTTTAAACTCCTTATTCCCAATCTTATATTTAGGCTTTACACAATATTACACGGAGTTTGCATGGTATCAACAATAAGGTCGACTCACTTAGTTAACCTCATTCCTGTGTCATTCAAACATAATTGTAAATTATGTTTGAATCTACGAGGTCAACTTTTACATAGTTGACCTCCTAACAGCTCTTTGTTAGACTAATTACTCTTTCGGCAGGCCAACTTCTAGTAATTCATGTACTTTGTTTATTATGCATGCTGCTTGCTAGTTAAGAAGATCACTCATATTCAGTTGAAGTGTATGTTTTTACCAAGAGCCAGGAAAATTCAATTAGAGAGTAATTCGACCACAAAAGGGGATTTCCACTACTTGTACCTACGTCTCTATCAAATTTATTGCTTTTATTGATAAAGGAATATTATATTCCTGTGTTACCACATTAACATCTGCATCCTACTGAGTTAAATCTCTCCCAAAATTAACAATTTTTTAAGTTTTCAATGACAGGGTTATTATTTTCGTCTAAAATATATCAATATGAGAATTTGGCTACTGCTATTTCTTCGACAAGATTTGAATGAATTTCGGTAGTAGACGAGAACAATTTTGTCTCCAATGTAATAATGCACATATAGAGGCAAACCACAAGATAACGTTCTGTTTCCATTTGTTTAATAACAAATTAAGTAGCGTACTCCAATAAGTATAGCAAGCAATTCTAATCTTAGAATAACCATATCTTTGATGGGAGCAATTCGTAACTTGGTGAACACCAATGAAGATAGAAGATTCATTGCTTTGAGTGATGTATGTCAAAGCGGTTATGCAGCTGAAGAAGCATTAGAAAAAACTTAAATTTTTATTGGTTATGAAAAATTAATTACACTATGTGATAGTTCTTTCATATGTACTAGCCATACACATGAGTTTATGAAAAAATGATAAATTAATGAAAAATATATTAATTATCAGGAATTGCACAACAAGTAACAATTGATGGCTGTATGAGTTTAATTTTTCATGCAAGTTAAAGACTGATAAGATTCAAAGTTGCAAATGAATTGAATCGGTGAAGTCAAAGATTGATAAGTTTCAACGTTGCAAATGAATCGAATTGGAATTTTGAATTTTCAGGATTTACGGATTGCTATGCAGAACCTCAAAAAATTTGCGGAATGTGCAGCAAATATAGAGTGAGTTTTTGATCAATTTCATTTTCAGATTGAATAATCTTTGCTGAATGGCAATGACACCAATCTAAAGAAATATTTTTTGGCTAAAAAAGCAACTTCAAGTTATTTCCGAGTACTTATACCTGTTTTTTTTTTCTTTTTTTTTTTTTTTTTTTTGTATATTTTTGAATGTTTTACTAGTGAAAACAATTTCGCCGTTGCATACGAACAATTAAATGTGCCAGTTGAGTTTTCATTTAAATTGACTGGTAAGTATATTTTACAAAAATCTACGAAAAATTTACGATTTTTTTGCGAAGCTTTATAAGCATTTTACCCTTTTTTTCTTACAAACTTCTTTATAAACTTTTTATCTTTTATCTAAGCAAAAGTCAAAGAATATGGCTATTGAAAAAAATTTCAGGAAAATAAAAGTTCATCAAAAATTATTTAGAACTTCAGTGAAGAGATAACGCTAACATGATGAACAGGATTAACGGCAGTGATATTTACGGAAATCAAACGCATGAAGAAGTTGAATCTCATGAATTCAATGAAATTATTTTCTTCGCAAACTTAAGGGAATACCATTACCGAAACTTAAAAGTTAGGTAGATCAGTGGTATAATTTTATCATAAAAATAAGCTTGCTCGCTATGTTTTCTGATAAGTTTATTGTTAGCGCTATTTCCTTTACACTGCTTAATCGTCCTTTTGTTGTATAAATGGTAAAGAAGTACTGTTTAACCGTCCTTTTGCTATAGAAGTGGACAATTTTATTGATGTTGATATAATATGAGGAACTTAAGCTGTTTAAGCTGTTTAATTGCTTACATTGACATTATAACACCAATAATGTGCTTGAGTAAATTTAAATTTCTCGATTGATTCCAATTTTCATTTTGTGATTCTCAAAAAACGGCAAAAAAAGTCAAAGAAATATTTCTTATTTGATTAATTAGTTATTTTAATTGAGTAGTTTCAATTCAGTTGGGTGATAACCAATTTCTAATATCACCAAGGATACAAAAAATTTCAAAAATGGTTGTGAAAATTGTATTCGCTGATAACCATAATTACATCACGATCACATCGCAAATATGCTTTTAAGTTCGTAGTATTTGCCTACGAACGTGATATGAAAAATACAATCAATTATGGTCGTACTTGGTTCTTAGTAAATGTACACAAACAGAAAAAAGTAGCCGTGCAGAAAGAGAGATCAACCTGACATAGTGTCGTCGATCACGTTCGCAATCCATTAGAAGGACATATCCAAGATAAACGGTTCCGTACGTTAAATAATCTTTAGTTTTATGAGGGTAATTTATGAGAGTAATATGTTTCAACAGATTAAAATACGACTTTCATTTAAGAATACCAATAAAATTGTAAAATTTCTGCATCACTGTGATGATAGCACCAGAAATGTTATTTGCTTTCTGTTACGGCTAGAATGAATATTTTAGGTGTCGCCTCCCAAAAGACTAAAAGAAATGAAAATTTGCAGAAATTTGACTTAAAAGAAAAAATCAGTGCTTCTTAAAATTTTCTGCATCGCATTATTTACTGAATTTTGTATTACGGTCACGGATGCTTCTCAGCACATTTTCATGTGCATTTCACTTGAGCCACACAAATATGTTTGAAGTTCTGCTAAATTTGTGAAACTAACGTGGAGATTTCATACAATGCTTTCGTACAATGTGAGACCTCAGATTACTCTTACAGTTGAAATTTTTGCCACAATTTTCGCACTGAACGTTAGGTCCATGTGTTTTCTGGTGATTGACTAATGTTGATGGATTACTGAATGTTCGTCCACAACCGGGCACTCTGCATTCATAAGTAAAAGGTTTGGGATGCGTTCTTCTGTGAGCTATGTATTCCTGGTGACACTTTGTTTTCATAGTACATCCGACATGGGGACACTCGTAATTTTTCTTATCTGAAAAATTCTCTTACAATATGCCTTTATAATTCTAGTTGTTAATTAACTTACGTAGTTTGAAACCTGATTACAAAAATTTTGTGATAATATAGCTTAGGCACAGTTCTTTACTTGTTTTTCCTGCATTTAAACAAAAAAATGTAACAGTAGATTTTCTGCTACGACAAGATCAGGTCAAGTTCTTATTCTTTACTATTCATATCCACAATTTCACGTAAAAGCAAAAAACCTCTTAAGAAAATAGTTTGTAAATTTATCGGATTCTTAGAAGAACAGATACTATTTATAGTTTTTATGTTAAACATAAACAAGAAAGATGTATCTCTTTGTCGTGATTAAATAAATGTCCTAGTACTTACTGAATTTTGTATTCCTATACAGCGGATGTTTCTCAGCACATTTTCACGTGCATTTCATCCAGTAGATAAACATATTTAAATCTTGTTAAATTTGGGAAACTAACGTGTGGTTTTCGTGCAGTGCTTTCTGTGATTACTCAGACTATTCTTACAGCTGAAAATTCTGCCACAGTTTTCACATTCAGGCTTAAGTTCGTGTGTCTGCCGATGACTGAACAACGATGAACGATAATTAAATATTAACCCACAACCGGGCACTTTGCATTCATAAATAAAAGGTTTGGGGTGCGTTTTCCTGTGAGCTATGTATTCGTTGTAGTTCTTAGTTTTCATAGTACACCCGACATGGGGACACACGTAATTTTTCTCATCTGAAAAACCGTCTTATAACATTTGTTTTTTTTTTTGCATTCACATATCATTTGGTAATTAATTGATGTAATTTGGAAAATTGAGATTAAATTGCAAGCATATACTGCAAACAATAGTTTAGTGTTACCTGTAATGGTGGGATTTTGTAGAACAAATAACTCCAAGTTTTTTGCATTAACGAGATCAGTTTTTCTTTCGAGTTGTTCAGTGCTTGCATCTTCAATTTTGTGGAAATGAGTGAAATCTAAGAAGTGCAGAGGATCGGACGAAATACTAGCATGCATATTCTCGCCATCTGTTCTCGATAATTCTTGCAACTGGTAATTTCCTGTTGTGATTGGAACGGTTTCGATTTTCGAATCCTCATTGCTTCTGTGTTCATTTTTCCACAAATCAGTAAAATCGAAGTGCGAAGAATGAAATGAAATGCTATTTTGCAAATTCTCAGCAGAAATTTCTAGTTCGTTGTTATGAATATCCATGCCTGAACCCAGAATCGATTCCAAATTGCTATTATCAAGGATATTGGAACTAGTTGAGAAGTACCCATTGCTACAGTCATCCCATGTGATGTCATCGATGTCGAGATTTAGCGGAGAGATACTTCCATTCTTAGCCAAAACGATGCAAAGCAAAAAGCTGAACCAAATGATTTGTATCATTGAAATGAAGAGCGAGGTGAAATAATGAATTTTCCAAATGACAAAAATACTCGAATGAAAGTTTTTATTTGAAATTGGCTGGAATTAAACGACCAAGGTTCAAACAGTTTTTAATCTGTCTCATTTGCATCATTACTCATACTTTTTCCGTTTCATTCTAATTTCCCTATTATTAAATTGACAGCTGATGAATGTGAAATAAAAGCTTCCATTTGAATATTTCTGTCATTTCAAAAATTCAGTACTTCACCTTAGAATTTAACTATCTCTCTACTAAACTCGACCACTGCATGAGACGACTTTAGCAATGAGTTCTCTAATGATTTCAATGTGCTTGATAGCACCAGTTTGGAGTCGATTCTGACTGAAGGTTTAATAAGCTTTGCTTTTTTTAGCCAAAGATATTTTTTTAGAGTTGGGATCATTTCCATTGAGCAAAAATTATTTAATCTGAAAGGGAAACGAAACTGATCAGAAACCCTTTATGCTTTATGCTGCACACTCTACATTTTTATTTTATTCAGATCCTCTATAGTAAATGCTGAAAATTAAAATTTTTAATTCAATTCATTTGTAACTTTGAAGTTTATCAACCTTTGACTTCAGCGATTACATTTAAATCCATAATTTTCTTTCATTAAAGTATCAATGCTGAAACGTCCCGCAGAGACAAAATACAATGTCATTAGCAGAGACTTAGGAAAAGTTTCAGGAATTTTCAATCGCATCGTTACTCCTTGTTTACTTATAATTTGCCCTAAAAGTGCAGTTTCATTTTGTAAGGCTTTCTTAATCCTCCTTATAGCAATAAAATTATAATACGTGAATAATAGTTAAATTTAGAGCAAAGAAGACAATAATAAGATTTTTAAATTTCAACTGGAATTATTGTTATATCTTTGAGTAATTTTTTTGTTTCAATTGTATGCATCCGATTAATTTCATCGCCACTATATTTTGCTCAGAAAAGTTTGGCGAGAAGTCATTTCAGTTTTTATTATCATAATGCTATTAAGCAATGCATAGAACTTATTAGTGATAATTATGTATTAATGAAAAACACAAAAGTAAAGGAATGATCATTGACGATCACTCAAATCTAGAAAATTCCTTTGTTCTACTTATCGTGAAATCACTCATAGGCAGTATTATTGAATGAGAGAGCTTTTGGTGGGGATTTTGATGTCATGTACATATCGGTGTTCCCTAACTTATACATTGATATTTTTGGATTTTACAAATTTAAATTTTACTGGCTTTTTAATTATGGCTGTAAGCCAATAATTTATGTAATAAACATATTTTCATTTACTTAAAATTATTATTAAACATCGTACAACAATCGAAAGATCGGAAGCATTCGTTATCCTTTTTTCCCTCTCTTTCTTATTATTTATACCTAAATGTTGGCTATTAATGGCAAAAATAGTCTATGGGATCCGTGTTGTGAAATTTGGAGTTTAGTGTGAATGTAGCTTATGGCTTAGAGTCGAATTGGACTTTTGCGTGCTGAAGAGTTATTGTGAATTGGTATAGACGAACTGATGAAGATAAAGAATTTCAATCTTTGTATAGTGGACACTGATTTGTAACAAGGGCACGATTGTTGAGTAAGAAGCTCTTATATAATCTTTACTCTTTAAATGGTAAGAGATGGGTTTTAATATTGTAGCTTCTCAAAGAAATATCTTCTCAAATGACTATAGCTTAGAAAACCTTTACAATATTTTGACGTCATAAACAAATTTGATTTTTTATAAGCAAATTTGACTACTCTCAAATTATCATTTGGAAACTTATAAAAGCAAAATTGTGCTCGAGATAAGGAAAAATCTCCATGTCGACAATATTATAATACTAACCAAAAGAACCAATGAAGCTCTTTCCAAATATAAGGAAATTAAAATTATATTCAACGAAGCATCAAAGAGAGTAACTTACATCCAATATATCTCTCAAATCATATTTCCATAATTGAACTGCTTATTCAGCGATGACATGAGCAATTGTATCATGCTGGAATTGCACATACGCTCTCAAATCTAGGATCGACGAAAGGTAGAACGAGATTTAAACGAATCTTGAATAAGTGCATAAACTTTTTTTGGCGAGAAGTCATTTCAGTTTTTATTATCATAATGCTATTTTGCTCAGAATAGTTATGCATCCTTCACAAAAACACAAAACTTTTGTTTCCTTAAATTTGGTGATGTCTGTTATTGAAAGAATTGAAATCTTTATCGTCAACATTTTCGAAGTCAAATTCCAACGCAGTCGATTCTATTTTCATTTTGTAATCATTTGATGAACTAATAAAAGGATACAACAAAAGAAATGATGCAAGGATAAAACAAAGAAAATGTTTGTTACATGAATCATATCATCGATACAAATCATTATGAAATATTTACATTTGCATGCAGCATGACATGCAACAATGTTCAGATTGTTTCTGTGTTTGAGAGTTCCACACAACTGAAACGAATATTAACAATCGAAATTTTAGTTAAATTGACTGAGAAGCGTTGACGTATCATCGATTGGCCATAAGTTGTTCATGCATTTTACCAACATTACGCAATATTTATAAATTCGTATGTTGCGTTGACTACACTAAGCAAAAGTCAAATAATATAACTATTGAACAAAATTTCAGGAAAATAAAAGTTTACCAAAAATTACTTAGAACGATAACGATGACATGATGAACAGGATTAACGGCAGTAATATTTACGGAAATCAAATGCATGAAGAAGTCGAATCTCTCTCTCTCTTGACATACAGTTTTTGCTTTATCACATTGAATTTAGTTCTTATTTTAGTAATGAGCCGTGAACGCTTTCTTGATAGTTACCTGAAATTTGGGCATTTCTGTCACAAAAACTGGATGCAAATAGCAGCAGGTGGTTATATAGGTGGTAGTAGAAAGTGTAGTAGAAAGTGATAAGTGGTGGTAGTAGAAAGTGATAAGTGGCAATAGAGTATGATTTAAATAAAAAAAACTTCAACTATACGCGGCTCATTACTAAAATAAGAACTAAATTCAATGTGATAATAGGAGGCTTGCATACGATCTCATTTTGTTACTCTATAAAGAAGCTGAGAGAATATGATTTAATATAATATGGTACCAATAGCGAATGCTACTACGAAATTTGCAAACGAACCGCACCCTAGTCGCAAAAAAAGTAAAAATAACTCGATCAATGCTTCTAGCTTTGATAGAATCATTTGAACATAATTTCTACTTCTATTTTCTTCCGAAAAATTGCTCAGATATGCTCAGTGATAGAAAAAGATTAGTAGCCGAAGTTATTTAGTGACATTGGGTATTATCAATACAACTTATTAACGTCGTAAGCTTGAATCTATGAAATACTTCAATAAAAGGTTAAGTAAATTTAAAGTAAATTTATGACACGAAAATAAATAATTGAACTTCTGTTAGTTCCCAATAATGCTCGACAATAGTTTGTCGGTTGACACAAACGAATAGTCGGAACGAACATTTACTGAGCGACGTTATAATAATTATTAGATAATTTCAAATATAATATCGCAAGTAGTTACTTGTACGGAAATTTGATTGGAAATGGTTGCAGGTTGTCGATGTGAGTAAAGATCTCTTACTTTTGAAAGACCTTTACATATACAGTGGGGGTCGATTTTTCACATGATTTCAACTGCTTATAAGAATGGCTGACAGATTGGAAGACTGCAAGTAGTACCTGTTTGTGATTATACCAATCCTTTGCAGATTTGTTCCGAAAGGCTTGCAACATTAGCCCTCCAGAATATAATCTAGTGGAATGTGCTCATATTTCAAGTATTTTTAAACTAATTTAACTGTTTAGTATTCCTCTAGAGTTATCAAAAAAAAAAAAAAAACAGTACAAGCTTTTGATACTCTTGTCAGCAAAATGGCCTTTCTGATAACTCAGGCTCTTAAATTTGAGATTGAAATAAGATATGATTAAAAAGTAATTCAGATAGCTATAAAATTCAGAAATCTTAATGTATGATGTGATATGATGTTTTAGGAATCAAATTAGAAAAAATACGACAAAAGTTAACATCGACCAATTAATCGAGGAATCCTATGCAGAAGACCTTCTTTTACCAGTACTACTATTGTGAGATCCACTTAAAACAATATGAGAAATCATAAATTTTGGATGCGACTGAGTTTGAAATATAAGTTGAAATTTTTGCTGTAATACTATTATCATATATGGAATGTGATAGAAATTAGTATAACCAATTAAAGTGTTTCCTGCAAGCTTTTCTATAAACAGTTTTTGTGAAGTTTTTTTTTTTGAAGTTTAGTAATACGTTGAAATAATCGAAATAATTTTGCATTAAATCTGTGAGATAGAAATTCATAGATTAAAAATTGTCTTATTTGAATGCCTGTTTGAGAAATATAAAAGTATTCTAGTTTTAAGTGAGAAATCATTTATCCAATACTCATCTTCCAAATATAACTAGTTTTGTGGACAGCGTCTAAAAAGTTACAATTTGTAAAACTATTATTGCTTTTGTTTACCAAAATTGAGGCCAGCCATGCTACTAAGTCAGAAACATGACCAACTATATAGGGTAGACACCTCTTTATCACTCAAATTATTGTAGTCATGCGCTTTGCTGCAAGAAACGCGCACTGTGCAAGAAGTAAAACCATGGAAGCACTCACTCCTCAATTCGTTTCCATAAATGGTGACGCAGCGGCAACAATAACAGCATTGGAGCGGACAGATGACGTTCATTTGCGTAAAAGAAGTTACGTTTTCTTCTTTTTGTAGTAACATTTTAAAGGTTGTTGACAATTCGGAATTTCGTAAATGCAATCAATCACTTTTCAGCCTTCGAAGTCTTGCAATCGAAGGATTAAGTAGTGGACAATGGTCAGTGATGATAAAGATATTATTGGTAAAATATTATTAATATTATTAAGATATTATTGTATTATTAATAAAAAACTTCATTTGCTGAGGTTATCAGTTTATCTGAATATCAGAAAGTTTTTCCAAATTTCAGTGAATTTTGAAATTTGTTAAATGAAGTGTAAGGTGAAATGTGTTTGATCTCACTCAGAAATCTAATAGATCTCGTTTTGTTTATAATTCTCACGCCTTCTTGCAGCAAAATGATGAATTTAGCATATTTTTCAAATTTGATATATTTTCCCAACGTTTTAAATTCATCTCATTGTGATTGGCTTCAAAAACAAAAAACTTCAAAGATGGAACAATTTGTTATGTCAACAAGAATTTGACAGAGAGTGGCATAATTCATTATGGACAATTATCTCATTATGTTTCGAGTAATGTCACTATAAATTGGCAGTGCGAGTGATGACTATTACGAGGCGACGATGTCAATCAAAGAGGATTATAATCATATTTAGATTATAAAAGATACACCAAATTAGTTGAATGAAAAGTGCTGTGAGAATAAAGTCGGAAAATTCTTTTCTTCAACAATCTTACTTTTCAACAAATTATGATAAGTACTGCAATAGAAAAGTTTGAACAAATAATATATCTTTTCCAAATTCTTCTTAACTATAATTGCATCAGTTCCAGAGAACAAAAAAAAAAAACCAAATGTTTTAATAGAACTAAAATTTTATCTTCTTGGGGATCAAAATGTATTTGTAATTGCAGTGGTTATTTGATTGCAGATCAGTGGTTATTTGATTATTTTATCACGGAATATGAAGGTTGTCGTGATGCATGCTTGTTTTTTTTTTTTTTTTTTTTTTTTTTTTTACTAACTGAGGTTTGTTATGAAGAAACATTTTAATCTCCACTAATTTCACCTCTTAGGTAAGATTTATTTTAATTTAGTGATAATAAAGTGATTATTTAGCAGATATTCCGGTCTGCAAGGGATTTTCTTAAGCTATTACGCATCATAAATATGTCACAAACCTTTTCGAGTTGTATTTTATAAAAAAGTCAACTATGGCTTTTATGAAGGACGCCAAATGTGAAAGATGGTTATGTGCTCTAGCCATCACTAACTGTTGTTATTTGTCATTGACCACACTATATGCCATTGACCACTATCAATGTAGAGAACTTCCTTCCCTCCTACAACGCTTACCGTAATTTATCCATTTTTTTGCTCTCACATTTTATGTTTGATTTCAAAAAAATTTGTTTTTTTTCTCCTCAAACTTAACTGTTCAAATCCATTATTAACTTAACTGAAAATTAACGTTCGCTTCAAAATGTTATGCAACTGATATTGCATTGAAACTTAGCGATATCCAAATTATTTAACTCCAACTAAGAATATTTCATGCACTTCTCAGTTTCTATGAACTAATCGAGAAACATACTCACATGTTCTTTTTTATTTTCGATAAATTCGCTTTTGCAAAGTACATTCGATTTTATTCGATTTGGCTATGCGAATGATGCAAATATTACAATGAATTTCAACTAATATTATGGATATGATTTCTCGGATTTTCGGATGAAGCGTAGTTAAAATTGGAAAACGATGTCGAAAATGATAGGAATGAGGAAATTCGTGAAGTCGATTAATTTGGATTCAGGCAGTATAAAAAAAATCGATCAATATTGTTTCCAGCTGATAATAGAAAAAGTGAGAGAAATGAAAACTTTCTGAGGATTTAAAAAAAAAAATTTTCAAAAAATAGACTGGATTATTTTTGATACGCACTATAAAATTTACATCTTAAATTCATTAATTTTTAGAAAACTTTTGGAATTAAGAAATTTTAAATATTTGTAATTGGTATTTTATTTTTCATCAAATGTCATTTGCTTCAAATATATCTTTGTACTAAAAACTGCAGCCATCAAAACGTGTATTAGAATTAAGAAGAAATGTCAAATCAAAATAATGAAAATTCATCGTTCGTAGAACTTTCAACACTAATTCTGAGCTAAATAGGTGAAGTCAAAATGAAATTTGAGGATTTGATTAGATGGATCACTTGGAAGGAAAATACCAGTGAGGACAAAAAGTGATCATTTGCTGTGCAAATGTGTACATTCTGTTTGATACTTTTTGATAGATGAAGCATTGCTTCAATGCTCAAATATTATACGTTTGATGATATTCAACATATGCAAGCAGTTCAAATAAAAAAATCAGAGCATAAAAGTTATGAGAATCTGATTTGTCTCATATTCCGGTCATGTCTTGCTGATCATGTTCATATTATGTAGCATATCCAGGTGTATGAGGTAAGGCATCCTTACCTCATACACCTGGAACATATTCAAGTTATTTATAAAACTTCTACAGATAACAGCTTGTCCAAGTTATATTTTAAAGTTATTATAAACAAACTTTAATCATTCACCAATATCTATCATTGTCTTTTAATAATGCAGATAAATATTAGAATTTGGAGTATATGCAAATTGCAATTTGTTTTTCATCAAGTATCGGACGATAATTTTTTTCAGAATATTGCCTTCAGAATCCAAGAAGATTTGTAAAGAAATTCAAAAACCCTTAACTTTCTTATTAATGTTCCGGAACTAATGTTAATGTTAGATAAAAAAATTACTTATGTTACTAATCTTTTTGAAGTAATTCAAAAATTTAATGCCCTAATGATAAGAATAAATTCGTTTTACCAATAGATCATTAATAGCCAGGAAAAGAATTTATGACCAACGTTCTTATGATTTTATTGATTTGCACAATAATAAATTAACGGGGAACAATTCACGTATAATTAGACAGCTTGTGTTCGTCACAAGTACGTCATATCTGTAAAGAGTGGCGCACTAAGTTGTGTACGTTATTATATTTCAATTTTGATATAATTGGAAAAAAGTCTTATTACAAACTTAATTAAAAACTCAAAATTTGTTGATTTCAATGTTAACTCACATGTAAATCATTTTGATCTCATATTTTTAGAAAACATCTTGAAACTATTGATACTATTCTGGATAGTTCATGCTAAGCACCAAATTCGGGGCAGAGTTTCTTAGTTTCAGGATACTGATGATCCATGCGTTGTTTGAAAAGTTTTATTGCTATGTTAAATTGCGCTCGAGAATGCTTTTGACGTTTCTTGGCAAGTGGTAGATCTTTTACTGTTTTGATGCCACGATGTACCATAAATAAATCATTCACCAATGCAAATGTATAGTTTTGACGGCACATTTCCCAACGCTGCAAGGACTTATTATTAATTCATTATCATAATACGTTATAAAGTTATATATTTGCTGTGT